TTATCAGCTATTAAATTTATAAATATTTTTAATAATAATTTTAATATAAGTAAAATTTGATTGGCTGTCAAACCAGTTAGGTGGGGGGAGGGGGTAGGCTCTATAGTAAATGGAAATCAGGTGATTTCTGGCGCCCCATTACTACTAGGGACACTTAGGGACTTTCTGATTTTTGAATTAAACCTTGCTCCTCCAATGTCTTCAATTCTTTATCTAGAAATTCTTGCTGGTCCGGTGAGGTGCGGTAAAAATGCTGCTTGATAGGTTTGGCTTCTGTGGTGTCAATATGATGGTTAACTACAGTTACTTTTCCTAGACCTTGTAGGTTATTGGTAAAAAGATGTTTTTTCTTTTCGAAAAATTCGTACGCTTTTTCTTTTTCTTCTTACTTAATCTTTCGTCTTCTACAACAGCTTTTAAATGTTTGTCAATAGTAGGGCTTAGGCTTTCTTTTTTTGGGGTAGGTAATTCTTCTACAAGTGTTATATAAATAGCCAGGCTAATTTCATTTTCCCACAGGTTTTCATATATGTCCAACTCATCCTCTGACTCTACAGTATAATATGCTTTCTTTTCTTCTAAGTCTTCACTTTCATAAGTAAATTTATCAACGGTATCGGCACTTTGTTTATCCTATTCCTCTTTGTCACACTTTAATTTATCCATACCAGTATAGAAGATAGGGACTTTGAGGGTTTATTCTTGGTGTTTTAAGATTAAACGCTGTTCATCAAAATGGAGCCTTTTTGGAACCAGTCGGTACCCAAAAGAAGAGTTTTATCTGATGACTCGATTATTTGCAGGGTACTAGGAATAACAGCGTCTTGGAGGATGATTTTTACATTATTAATTTTTCAAGGGCCCTAGTTTTTGCACCGGTAGCCATAACTACGATAGTTGGAGATTTTTCTTTAATATGGAGACCCAATTTATCAACTAGCTTCTTGGTCATTATGCTCATAGTGGTGCCAGAGTCTAACACCACTGCAACTGGGTTGCCTCGAATTTGAATATAGCATCGAGCTGCTGTAGTCCGATTATCGGTTTCGAACTTCACATGACTAGCTTCTTGGACGAGTAGTAAGGGTCTTCGTAGAGCTAAAGCCAAATTCCTCCTTTGATTGGGATATTGGAGTAGCTGGCCTATTGTGATATTTGCAGAAGAATTCATAATGTTTTCTGTGACATTATATAAAGCAAGTTTGTCAATCACCGATGGGTCTCGCTTTCTTCGAGGTTTTTTCGCGGCAACAAATTCATCCTCAACTACTGGTGACAGCCCAACGTTTCTATAGTTTCTCAGGTGGGTTTTCCATCGAGTTTTGGGTTGGGCTTAAGCCATTTTTTTACTGTTTCCTTCATAGGGCTGTTATCTTTTTTCTCCTAAGGTATAGACTTCGTCTACTTCCCAACCATCACTATCGATGTTGGATATGGCTATTTCGACATAATTAGCCTTACTCTTTTCATTGTTGTCCTTTTTTGGTACTTTTTCTGATATATAGTACTGGGATATATGGCCAACTTTGCCACAAGTATAACACATAATGTCTTTTGTGGCTCACGGCGTTTTTCTTCACTTTTCCACTTATTTTCGCTGCAGGGTTCTTTGGAACAATTTTCAACAAGAGAGGCGTAATTTAGGGCAATTTGCTCAATTTTCTGGGATAAGTTGCCTAGTTCTTCTTCCAGCCTTCTCTGATGCCCTCTTTCTTGAGTTTACTTGCTGTAGTATTCACCAGCTTCAACTCTTTGGGTGCTAACAATGGCTTCTGCTAGGGTCTCAGGTTCGGATACGGCCACAAACGTCGGTGTTTTACTATGAAGCCCACTTAAGAACATCCTAATAACATATGTGTTAAGTAATTCATTTTCGGGGTCTACTCTTGCAACGAGACATTTAAATTTCGCCACATATGTATCTACTTTTTCATCTTTGTATTGTTGAAGGTAGTTTAATTCAATCTGCCATCTGTGGTGCTTTTTAGGGGTGGCAAAAAAGTCGAGAAATGCATGATAGAAACTTCTTGCCTCGTTATCAACATTCTTCCATTCTATCAATTGGCTTCTTTTTTCGTTATGCCAATTCGCAGCTAACCTTTGAAGATATCTGGAAGTGATACTGAGCATTCTTACTTCTGACCAGTTATTGGCTTCTGCTGCTCTTTTAAATGATTCTATCTATTCAATAGAGTCCTTTTCGTTATTTCCGCGGAAGATGTTAATTTTTACATGGGTCAGCTCCTTTTTTTCTTCTCCTCTAGAACTAGCAATTGTGATTGCAACTTGAGTGAAAGAGACTCTTAAATCTTTCAAAAGTTCTTGCAACTGATCCTTATTTATTGTATCAGCTTTCCCAGGGAGTATTTCTATTATTTCTGAATTTTGACTATTTATACGGCAATTACCGAAATTTTGAAATCGGGGTGGGGGAAAATAGTTGTCATGTTGAATCTCATGATTCACCACCAAAATGACAACCTAATATGGCGAGTCAGTTGCTAATAAATTGAGGCCTTGTGTAACCTACATTTGGCTTAATTGAAGAGGCGTTTAAATTTGGTGAGTTGGTGATTTTAGACATAGGTATTCTTCCTAAACCTTATATTGAGCCTTATATATAACACACTAACACTTATATTATCAGTTCACAATACTTTCTAACAAACCACAAATTGAGATCTTCTACTTGACCTCAAACTGGAACAATACAACCACAGATTCCACAGCCCATTGGGAAACTGGAAAACAACCACAACTAATCCACAATACGTTGGGATAGTTAGTAAACCATGGCAGTTTTTAATCTGTCGAGAATCAACCAGAAAACAATCTTCTTTCGAGTCATATGAGCAAGACAATTAATAGACGAAGATCTTTCACTATGCTACTTAGTGATTGATCAGGGTAAGAAGTATTTTAGTATAGCGGGTTTATTTAGAGACTTGGGTTTATATGAGTCAATTGGGTCAATTGGGTAAATTTGGTAGTTTTTATTAGGAAACAATAATTGTAAGCAAACAGAACTTATTGTTCTCAGGGCTTTTATGGCCTTTATTTATAATAAAATCTTCGGTGTTACAATCAGTACAATAAATGTAATATATTCAATAAATTCCATAAATATAAAAAATGCAATAAATTCCATAAATCCTATCAGTGTAATAAATGTAATATATTTTCATAAATTCCATAAATTTTATAAATGCAATAAATGTAATAAATTGAACTTATCCCTGTGATCTTAAATCACGCTTGGGCCGCAGCAATTTGGGTTGGTTTCCAGGGCTCACAGTACCAAAATTAATTAAAATTTAATTTTTAGATTATATAATATTAATGATAGATTAAAAATATATAAATTTGGTTAGAAAAACTCAATATATTAAAGTGGTTCTTTCAGTTTCATCTTTTTTAGTTATACTTGAATCAATCTTTTTTGTTTTATTCATAATTTTAAATTAGCCTTTTATTTATTTAGCATATTGTATCTAACTTTCTGAAGTATAAGTGCTACTATAATATCTAGTTTAAATACTAGCTTCATAATTTTAAAACACTATTTACTATGAGCACCTTTTGTATGACTGAAACTTTGTTACTAGATGTTTGACTTAATATTTTAGCTAATTATTAGATATAGCATAAATATTGAATACTAGAGTGTATATTGTGATGTGATACTATATATACTGTATATATATATACTAAAATTTTTACTAATCACTTGTTCTAACTAATTAAATGCCAGAAAAAAACTATATGTTGTAAGAGGAAAAGATCATCACTAAGATAGCTCAGAATAATTTTGCTTGATTTGGCTAAGAATCTTAAAATATGCAAATAAGTTAAAAATATGTATTTATAATACTTATATAATCTGACCTCTCTATAGTCACACCTTATATAGTTACACCTCTATATAAGCATCTAATATTGTATAACAGACTTAAATATAGTAAAAAAACCTCTTTATAGTCATAAATTACTTATAATCACTATCACAAAAAAATTTAGATTTTATTATCAATTTTATTAGTAAAAACCCTCTTTATAGTCACAAATTTTGACTAAATATAGATTACAAAATCTGATTGTCCAATATTTATATTTATACTTATTTAAAATATTTTATTGAAAATTCTTAAAGTTTAACAGTAAATATCTTTTGATGCAGTAGTCCAATTTAAATGATAAAATGTTCATCTTGATAAGACGATTCTAATAAGTCCAAAATCGTTAAAATCTAATTACAGGCTCCTATAATCTTTAAGGATTTGTATCACTTTATATAGTTAAATTTAAATATTTTAGTTAAAAATTCTTAATGATCTTAGTATCTTGCAATTAGATTTGGATAATTTGAACTCTCTAAAATTATCTTATTGATTCAAATGCTCTGGTAGTCATTTTATCCAAATTGGTCCACTAAATCAAAAGTTATTTACTATCAAACATTTTAAAATTTTTAATAGTATTTCAAATATGCATAAATATATTACTTATTGTCTTTTGATTATATAACTATGAAAGATATTTTATTTATAGTCACATCTCTATATAATCACTAAAATAGTGTGTGACCAACTTGTAATTATAGAGAGGTCTAACTGTACATGTAATATAATGTTACAAAATACTTAATCTATATTTAATATACAGGATTTTTCGACCTATTTCGTTTTTTTAACCAATCAAATTTGTCTAAAATACCAATCAAATTTGTGTTTCAATCAAATTAGTATATTTTGATCTATCGTTGATAACTCGTTATCTAGTGGT